ACAAAATGGGTGATCTTAAAACAAATCCCTCCAAACACATAAGTGAAGCGAGACTTGGAGAAAATGGGGAGGGAGAAGGTGGAAGAGTTGAGAGCTAAATCTTTCTAGTGATATGGTAAGTAGAACCATGTGAGCTAAGAATGAACTGGGTTAAGTCCAAGGACCTGATGACTGGAGCGAGGGTTCAAGGATGAGGTTGGAGTGGTAGAGAGAACCTCAAATGCCAGGCCAGCACAATGTAGGGGAGCAAGGGTCTTGGAGTGAGACGTGTTCAAACCCTAGCTGTACTGCTTCCTAGATGGGCCCCTCAGCATGTTCCTTAACCCTCCTAATCCCAGTTCCCATTTCTATAGCATAGTTAGTCTGGACCATGGTGGGTGAAAAGAGATGAGCACAGAGCCATACGCAACAGGTATGGAAAGGGGGCAGTTGTTACTTGATTGACTCTGTGGGGCAGTGAAGAGAAGTCACCAAAGAAGGATTTGTCCTCTCAGAGATCAGGTCCATCCCAGGGTCCCAGCACGGCCCAGCATCTCCTAGTGTCCAGGCTGTAAGCATTGGCCCCATCCAATCCCCTAGGCTGTCTGGGACAAAGGCTAGGGCCTGCCTGGTGGTCAGGGCTTCTTGGAGTTCATTTCCCCATGGATAGTATCTCCCCAGCTCATTCTCATTCATTCTTTTCCCTGATTCAACAACTCTGATCTCTTTTACTATGTGTTAGGCACTGGACTAGGTGCTGGGGATACAGCGGGCATCAGACACCTCTATGCCCCACTCCAAATCCTCTTGACCCCATACTTTATTCCATCCGGGGCTGCGGGATCCAGTTCTTTGAGCAGGGGTAATGGGCAGGGCCTTACTTCCAGCCTCCCTGGGGCGCCTCTGAGGCAAGAGTTTGAAATGCCTGCTTGGTACTCATGCCTGAGCAACCTGAAGGGAAGGGGAGTTAGTGCCTGTGGGGCCACTCTTCACTAATGGGAGCTGATGGAGAAATGTCTCCCCTCTTTCTTCCCCGGGGTGGAAAGTTCATTCACAGGCCTCTTCAAGGGGTGGGGGTGGGGGGTTAGGAACTGCATTGCCATAGCCAATGCAATAATGCATTCACAAAGGAGCTCTGTCTCCTTGCTTCTTTCCTCCTGTCCCTCACTCTTGCTCCCTGGGATCACTTCCTAAGTAAATTATCTGTATGAAGCATTTGTCTCTAGGTCAGCTTTCAGGAGAACCCAAGCTAAGACAAGTAAGGAATGAGCATGGGAAGCTTTAGGTGAGGGATGACCATTGTTATTAGACATTCAAGTGGAGATGTTGGGTAGTCAGTGGATATATGAGTCCAAGGGAGAAAGGTCATTGTGGGAATGTGGCTTTTTGTTTTAAATATGTTTTTATTGATTTCAGAGAGAGAGGAAGGGAGAGGGAGAGAAAGAGAGAAATATCAATGAGAGAGAGTCATTGATCGGCTGCCTCCTGCACTCCCCCTACTGGGGACTGAGCCCGAAACCGGAGCGTGCACCCTGACCGGGAATTGAACCGAGATCTCCTGGATCTTAGGTCGATGCTCAACCGCTGAGCCACACCAGCTGGACCATTGTGGGACTTTTTAAAACCATGAGGCTGGGGGAGCTCACCAAGGGAGTGAGTGCAGACAGAAAAGACAAACGAGGCCCTCGGATGCTAAGGGATTGCTGGAAGAGGAACCAACATCTGAGACTGAGAAGGGTGGGCCACAGAAGTAAGAGACAAGTCAGGCAAGGCTGCTGTCTTGGAGGACAGACAGAGAGCACTCAGAGAGGAGAGGGCGCCCAGCTAGCCAAGGGCCACCGGCAAGTCGGGGAGATAAGGAGAGAACATTGGACTTGGGCAGGAGAAGGTCATTGATAAGAGCAATCTGGCTGGCAGGGTGGGGACAGGTCCCATTAGGGAGGTTTGAGAGTGAGTGAGAGAAGTCAGAGACAGTAGAGACAGTCTTTCTAAGTGGCAGCTGTGAAGAGAAGGAAGGAGAGAAATAGGGCAGTGCTAGAGAGGTGATAAGATCAAGAAAGGTTTTCAGTAGATACAGTCGGCCCTGTGTATCCATGGGCTTCACATCCGTAGGTTCAACCAACTGCAGGTTGAGAGCAGTATTTTCACATTCCCAACTGCAGATTCCCAACTGAGGATCCAAAACACTGCTTTGGGCCCTGGCCAGGAGGGTCACTTGGTTGGAGCATCATCGCGTGCACAAAAGGTGGTGGGTTCGATCCCTGGTTGGGGCACCTACCCAGGTTTTGGGGTCGAGCCCGGGTCAGGGCACATACAGGAAGCAACCAATTGATGTTTCTCCCTCTCTCTCAAAATCAATGAAAACATATCCTTGGGTGAGGATTTAAAAAATACTGCTTTGGACTCTCGGTTGAATCTGCAGATGTGAAGGGCCGACTAAAGTTTTGGGAGCGTCAGAGTTATTCCCAGATTTTTGACTGCCCTGGAGTTCGCACCCCTAACCCATGCGTTATTCAAGGGTCAACAGTATATTCTACATAAAGACATGTACATGAGTGTTCACAGCAGCTTCATTTGTAATAACAATACTAAATAAAAACAAGACAAATGTCCATCAATAGGTGAATGGATAAAGAAACTATGGTACATCCATACAATTAAATAAGACTCAGAAATAAAAGGAATGGACTGCTGATGTACACTACAAAATAAATCAATCTGAACATACTTATGTTAAGTGAAAGAACCCAGACAAATGAAGAATACATGCTGTATAAATCCACTTACATAAAATTTTAGAAAATATGAAGTAATTTAAAGAGACGGAAAGTAGACACATGGTTTCCGGGGAATGGAGTGGGGGGCTGGTGGGGAGGGCTGTAAAGAAAAAATTACTAAAAAAACATGAGATTTTTTTTCTTAAATATTTTTTAAAAATTAATTTCAGAGAGGAAGGGAGTGGGAGAGAATCATCAGTCGGCTGCCTCCTGCATGCCACCTACCAGGGCATGTGCCCTGACCGGGAATCGAACTGTGATCTCCTGGTTCATAGGTCGATGCTCAACCACTGAGCAACGCCAGCCGGGCAAGAGGAAATTTTTTAGGGTGATGGGTATGTTCATTATCTTTACTGTAATGATGGTTTCATCAATGACATATTTGTCACTTTAACTATGTGCAGTTTATGTTAAGTAGAGCTCAATAAGCTGTTAAAAAATAAGTTTGGGGAATGTTATATTGGGGATTTTTCTACAAAGCCAGTCTTCCTTAATGCATTTTATTGTTGTTGTTTTTCTTCTAATTATATAACAAACATGTCCAAAATCAAAGCCCACAAATCTCTCATTTCACAAATACTGTGACCTGCACCAATAGTCGTTTTCTGTGTACCATGGTGTGGGAAAGGGGCTCGCTGAGGGCCATTCTTCCATCCCTGTGAGACAATGGGCAGAGGATGCCGTTGGCTTTTGAGTACACAAGGGTGCAATAGGAGGGCGTCCCAACCACAGGCTTGAGAAAGTCCTCTCCACGTGCTCCGTTTTGCTTCCTGGAGAGGTGAGTGGCTGAGGTTTGGACAAAAATTGAAGTGTCCACTGGAGCTCAGTCATGCGAGGGCACCAACCCCAGATCCCTGATCCACATAAGCAGCAGTGTGAGGCAGAGGGGCGTCGGCGTGTGGCAGTGAAAGAGGGAGGACAAGGTGACCAGAGGCTTCCAGGTTCCGGGGTAAAGTGACTTTGGATAAATACACCCAGTGTGGTCCCAAATGCCCTCTTGCTGCCCCAAAGGCAGCTGCCCACCCTTCTGAACACAGCGCATCCTCAGAGAACAGCCAGAGCCTGGGAGCCATGAGGCCACTAGCCAGACAGCTTGGCCTGGCCTCGAGTCCAGAGGTCAAGGTGGGGACCAGGCAGAGGCCGCAGCTGTCCCTGGCTGTGCCCACCTCGTACCATATACCCACACGAGGCAACAGAGGCAGCAGAGCAGAGGGGCTGAGGCCCCTGAGAGTCCACCTGGGCTCATGCCATGGCTTTGTCAAGCCGTGTGTCTAGGGCAAGTTATTTAACTGCTCTGTGCCTGTTTCTCCATCAATAAAATGAAGAAAACAAGCATTACCACATATAGTAGTGAGAATTAAAGGAATTAATATCTGTAAGATTTTTAGACAAGTCTAGACACAAAGTATGATTGCTGATGTTTGCTATTGTTGCATTCTATCCTGAAAATCCCTCTCCTGCCCCTTCCTACACATCAGACAGTTCAGGCTTGTACACATGGCAGACCAAGCATCCAGCCACTTAACTCTTGGGTGTGATGGACATTTCCCTTAACACCCTTAGATTAAGTTCATCGGGTTTAGGGCTCTTGCTGTTTTATTTCTATTGCCCTGGCTACTAAGACCTCATAGGAAATCTAGACTCCAAGCCTTACGGCAGGAAGGCATGGGTGGAGTAATCCACGTAGGTCGTGCTGTCTCCAGCAGGGGGCAGTCGGCACCAAGCTTTGCTAGACATTACAAGGCATTCCGCCCCACCCCAATCCCTGAGTTACTGAAGGAGGGAGGGTTGCTCTAGTTCAAAAGCCACTGTGGATTTGTGGGCACTGCTCCTTCCCAGACCCCTGACTTACCTAGTTTCTTTCTGTCTCGCTTCCCAGAGGGGGAGCCTCATGCTGTAGGTGGCTTAGCCTGTTTCCCAGTCTGTAAAGTAGGTAGTCATCTCTGCCTCCCCTGAGGTTTCCCACAAGCGAATTCCTAACAGAAAGGACAGGCTGCAGGCCCAGCCCACAAGCACAGCTGGGAAAAGCCATTTCCTTAAGTGGCAACACCAAAGAACGGGAGAGGCCATTCCAGACTGGGAGCAGGCAGCCTTGGGCCAGCTGCAGATTCTCCCAGGCCTCAGTGTCCCAAATCTTGGCCCCAGGGTGGACCCCTTCAATCCTGCACCAACAAGGGGCTATAAGGCCACATTCAGGCCTTCCTTGCCCCTCCCCACCCAACAGCATAAATGAAAGACAAAAGAGAAAAATCAAGTCTTTATTGTTTGAGTAATAAACTGGCTTCGAGAGGCAAGAGTGGAGTGCATGGAAACACCCAGCTTTGATCAGTCAGAAACTCCTGTTAACTGTACAAAATGAATGTTGCAAAATCATGTAAAAAACAGGGTCAAGCAAAGCAGCAGCCCTTGGAGAGGGCTCAAGGCACCTGGAGGCTGAGAAACAGGCCCACCCTTGCCCCTGGGGCATGCCCGAGGGGCTGGGGACTTAGGGTCTGCACCCTTCCCTCTTTCACCACAGGGTACACCTGGTCTCCTCTCTCTCCATTTACAAATCACTGAAAAACAGCCCAGAGGGGCATAAACATCAGAGGCCAAGGCACTGCCAGAAATGAAGAAGCCCTGAGCTGGGCACGGAGCTCCTGCTTCCCCAGTGGCCCAGGCTTGGGGAAGGGCCTCCTGTTCCCCATGCCCAGCACTGTGAGCAGACACAGAACCCGGGCTGGGGAGGGCCTCAGGCTCTGTCCTTCAGAGAGGCAGTGGCCATGGGAGGCCTGAGCTGGCCACCAGAACAAATAGCCTGGGCTTTGGTCAGTGCCAACTGGAGGGAAAGACCACTGTCCCACCCAGCCCCCACAATGAGGCCCTCTGCTGGCACAGTCCTGCTGAAGCCGCTGCCGGGCCAGCCCTAACTGGGGTAGCACATGCAGCATCCAGTGCCTGCCGCCTCCATGCTGGGCTTGGCGCCAGGCCCCAGGAGCCCGTCAGTGAACGAGCACTCCGTGATGATGTCTTCCACCCGGGTGATGTACAGGAACGTCAGCAGCACCCCCAGGAACTGGGAAGGGGCAGGCAGGTGAGAGCCGGCTGGGGATTTGGACAGCCCTCTCTGGCGGTTTCCAGTCCCCAGAAACTCGGGCAGCCAGTCATGAGCACTCATGGCTCTGGTGACGTGGCAAACCCCCAGAGCACAGCCTTCCCCCAGCACCCCCACTGCCCAAGCCGCCCCACCCAGGGCCCTCCTCTGCCCTCCCAGGAAAGTCCAGAGACCCTTTGCCCCATCTGCAGAGGTTCTTCCATCCTGGGATTCCTGTCTCCAACCCAGCTATGCCAGTCACCATCTAGAGGATCTTGGGCAAGTCACTTAACCTTGCTGAGGTTTGGTCCCCTCCTCTGCAAAATGGGTATAATAGTGCCTACCTCACAGAACTGACGGAGGCGGTGCCTGTGAAGCACTCAGAAGAGCTTTAAAGCTATGCTATTGCCATTTGCCCCCTTTCAGCCCTCCAGCCCTGCAGGGTGGCCTAGATTGCTGGTACAAGAGCCTCCTTCACCTGGCCCCTTCGTATCTCCTCTGCACTCTGTCATCACTAGCCACCCTTCATCGGAACCCACAGCCCGCCCACCACCGCTACCTCCAGCTCTCCTGCCTGAATGGAGTGGGGCCCAGCCCACCTGGGGGAGCAGGATGCCCAGCAGGAGGCCGGCCATAATGGTGTAGTTGTCCATGAACCAGATGAGCACAGCGTTGGTGCAGCCCCGCACGTAGATGATGTTCTGCACGACGAGGCGCTGCGTGGAAGGAGCTGGCTGAGTGCCTCGCCTGGCCGAACCCTGTCCCAGCTCCGCCACTCATCTGAGGTCCAACCAGGTCCCTCAACCTCCCTGAACCCACTTCACATATGCATGTGGCAAGACCACTGGGTTCTAGGCTACTGGGTCTCAACGGGCAGTTGTGTTCCCTAGAGAGCACTGGAACATTGTGGTGGCTCTTCTGGTTGTCACAGGAATGGGGCTGGGGACTGAGGGACTTCAGAGCTCAGGGCAATCCTACTTCACCAGCAGCTTCCCTGCCTGCCTGCCTGCCTGCCTGCCTCTCAGATGTCCCCCAGGCATTCATGTGGGTGAAACTCATTCATAATTATCTGAGCCAAAAGCCTAACTCCACGCACATGTGAAAACCAAAGTGTTTGCCATGTGGTTTTACTATGTACACTGAATTTTGCAGAAATACTACTGTGTAAATTAAGGAACGATTATATTTTATTTTGTTCACAACTTTATAAAAAAATGTTGGCCATTTTTAAAAAACATGTCAACTGCAAAAATAATGCCCTTGGTATGCAAGCTGCCAACGTAAGACCCCAGCCCTCCGGCAGCAGCTGCCCCTGTGGAGCAAACACCTGCCTGTGTTGGGTCTTCTGCTGCGTCTACCTAATGCCTGAGCACTCACATGTTGAAATGTGCTATATGGTTAAAAATGTTTTATTTTGTTTCTCCTTCCATCTCAGATCATTGTCACTTGTTTTGAAATTAGGTATGTAGGTAGGTTACATTATCTATGGATTTCCTTTCAATATAATATCTCGGGCATTACCAAGAGTTTAGTATAAAAACTGGCCATTGGGTCTGATGGCCTGAGAGCACTGCTGGTCTATTGCTCTCCAACTTAAGTGTGTATCAGAATCAACTTCTGAGCCCCACTCCAAGAATGTGCACTCCTACTGAGTTCCCAGAGGGGTGCTGCTGCTGCTGGTCTGGGACCTCACTTCGAAAACCACTATTCAGAGGCATCTCAAGTCATCAGTTTCAGCTCCCTTCTCAGAACTAGCCCAGCTTCTCTCCTAGCCCACGGGAGCTGCTCAGGAAGCTGACCGAGGAGGGATCCCCCAAAGGGCTCTGTCCTCCAGGGACTCCTGGGTCCCAGGCTGAGAAAGCCAGTGTGAGCTATCTGCGAACTGGTGGCTTCAAGGGCAGAGGCAGGCTGGTGCTGAGCACACTGGACACACAAGCTGCCCTACAGACCAGTCCACAGCAAGTGCTCGGCAAACCCCAGGAGGTGACCTCTCCCAGCCTAGGGGGTTCTTGGCTCCTTGAGCCCCTCTGTGTCTGGGTAGGGGTAGAAAACTCTGGCAGTCCCTGGCTCCTGTTCAAAGCTGAAATGCTGGAAAATCTCAGCAGCCAGGAGCCTCACCCCTAGGAACCCCTCCAATCACCCTGGGGATAGGACAGGAAGAGCAACCTTTCTGGAGATTTCACAGACATTACCTCCTTGTCAATAGTTCTGTAGCCACACATGGTGTTGACGACATCAACTTGTGTCTGAAACAGAAAGGTATATTAGCTGACACTTACCTGGTGCTTGCTGTCAGACACTATTACTCTCCCCATTTTATGGAGGAAAGAACTGAGGCACAGCACTGCACTGTCCGGTATGGTTGGAGCTGAGCTTCCCACCCAGGCAGCTTGGCTCGAGTCTGCATCTTAACACCCCACCTCCAAGAAAGGCCCAGGGAAGGAACATGGGAAGGCCTGTTCTGTGGCACTTGGGTGGGAACCACTCCTCCACCAGCCACAGCCCAGGAACCCAGGGAAAAGCGTGCAGCCCCAGGCTCCCCCAATGTGGCCTTGCCAGGGGCACAGCTCTGCTGGCACGGTGATGCCGCCTCAGAGGTTGGGCTGGGCTTTCCCTGCTCTGCTGGCTCTCCTGAAGGAAAACCCCAGACCACAGCCAGGACCTGACCCGTGGGCAAGGCTGGGACCTCTGACCACACGTCCCCGCCCGCGCAGACTGCCACCTGCCAGTGAAAGTGCTGCCCAAGTTTCTTTCTGGGAAGAGAGTCACTCTGGAGAACTCCCAGATGCTGACCAATCTAGGTGCAGGGAAAGCTGCGGTGGGCCCCAGGCCCCGTCAAATCCCTTTCCGGCAGGTGTAAGTCACAGGGCTGGCGGGGCCCTTCCCCTCATGCCTGTGCCTTACGCGGTCTCTTCCTTCTGTAAGGTGAGAGGAAGCCAGATGCCCTGGTCCTGCCCCTCTCCATCTGAACGAAAGCTGCTGTGGGGTCAGGGTGCCAGCAGTGATGCAGGAGAGTGGCAGCGTGGCCTCTGGCATCATGGGCCTGGTCCAGATCCTATGTCACCTATGAGCTCTGAGACCAGCCTCAGGTGTGCTGCAGAGGGGCCGGCACATGGAGGCACTTGATAAGTGCTTGTTGAATGAATGAGTGAATGAGTGATTGAATAGGCTCCTTGGTCTCTTCCATGAGCAATGGTGATTAATAAACCCACCTCATGAGGCTATTTTGAACATAAAGTGAGATACAAACGTAAAGTAAGTTTATCCCGAGGCCGGGCACACAGAAGAGCATAGGAATGCTGGGTGGAGGGACTCTATTTACGATCCCAGCTTCCAGAAAGGCAAGGAAGGGCATCTGCTCTCCTTCCAAAAAAGTGGATTGGATCTCAGACATCATCCAGATTAGTCTAATGTCAGCCTGGTATGTGAGCAAAATAACCTCCTTCGGTCTCAACTGTCCGCCAGGTGAACCTCGGACCCAGCATCGCCCAGCATCCACTCAGCATGGCCCTCCAGCAGCCTCTCCAGACCATGAACATGACCCCCATGGAGACGGTCAGGCCGGGAGCAGGGACATGAGGGCAGGATGGGAGCGGTGCTTTCTACCTGGTTTGTTCATTCATTCAGGCATTCATCGAACAAATATTGACTGAACACCTATTATGTGCCAATAACTGTTCCAGGTATTTGGAACAAAACAAAGTCCTTGCCTTCATTCTAGAAAGGGAGGCAGACAGTGAACATAATAAATAAGCAAACTATCTGGTATGTAAGAAGGTGGCAAGAGTAACTTCACTCTTTACTGTGGTCCCAGCCCTGGAGGTAGGACACAGCCCCTGCCCTCGGGGAGCAGACATGCAGCGGGCCCTGGGCCCTGGGGGGACTCGCCTCCCCCTTCCAGGGGAGCTCCCCTTCCAGGAGGGGGATACGATGCATCCATGGTCTTCCCCAACGTAAAGCCTGCCTGGGTTTGGCCACAGAATTGATATTTATAAGCCAGCATGAAGCTCTGTTGCTCCAAATCCTCTACAGAGAACCAGGAGAGCTGACGGTGTCGTTCCTGTAGGAAGGTTGGCCGCCTGAGACCCAGGAAGAGCTGCTTCGCTTCAAGTCTGAAGGCACTTAGGCAGGAAGAAGTCCCTTACTCGGGGGAGGGATAAGTCTTACCATTTCTTTTCAAGCTGAGAGCTAGGGGGAAAAGTGACTTTCCCTGAAGAACTGATATGTTTTCTTCTGTTAAACATTGACAGTGTAACACACGATAGTTCCCTTTTTCCTTTGGCCAGGAAGCTCATTTCTAGTGATTCTATAAGCCCTTTAGGCCTACATATCAGTATTTTATATTTTCTCTATCATCTGGCCTTTTTTTATTCTACATATTTCAGATCCTTGATTGATTGAGATAATATAAAATAAATAGATTCATACACACATGGAACCAATTCTGTCGAGGAAGGAAACCCCTCTTTTACATTTAAAGAAAAGTCACCCAAGCATGGGAGACACTGGGAGACACAACAGTTTTTTCCTTCAGGACCAGAGACAGCCCAGCCAAGAGACAGTGGCCTCCCCACCTGGGTGTTCCCATTTAGAGGCCAGCTTTAGGCTCCCTCTCTGCAGATGGCATCCGTGTTTATTGTCCCAGTCTGGCCCTCGCCCCCAAACTCCAGACTCATCTCTAACTACCCCTTCGACAACCCTGCTGGCATGTCCTGCTGGCTCTCAAACCCCACATATCCAAGCTGAGCTCCTGATGCCCCCAACCTCTGTCCCTGCAGTCCTCCCCCTCAAGCAATGGTAGCCCCACCTTTCTTATAGCTCAGGCCAAACTCTGGGAGTTCTCTTCGATTTCCTCCTTCACCTCCCTCCCACACCTGATCTGTCAGCAAATCCTGTTGGCTTACTTGCAAAACACAGCCAGAATCTGACCACAGTTTGCCTCCTCCATGCCCACCACCTGGCTCTAAGCCTTTGCCTTCTCCTGTCTGGTGTGGTGGATGCTGTGAGGAGCTGCCCAGGACCCCCGCAGCTGCTGCTGGGAGCACTGCTGGCAGCAGCCCTCAGCTGGCAGCCCCCTGCAGTGATTGTCATATGTGGTTAATTTTATGTGTCGAATTGACCAAGCTTTGAGGTGTCCAGATATTTAGCCAAACATTATTCTGGGTGTTTCCATAACGGTGTTTTTCAGTGAAATTAACAGTTAAATCAGTAGACTGAGGAAAGTGGATTGTTCCCTAATATGGGCAGGCCTCATCCAATCAGTTAAAGGCCTGAATAGAACAAAAAGGTTGCCCTGCCCTGGCCAGTGTGGCTCAGTTGGTTGGGTGTCGTCCTGTGCACCAAAAGGTTGCCAGTTCAATTTCCAGCCAGAGCACATGCCCGGGTCGCAGGCTCAGTCCCGGCAGGGGAAGTACAGGAGGCAGCTGATCGATGATTCCCTCTCACACAGATGTTTCTCTCTCTCCCCTTCTTCCTTCCTCTCTCTCTAAAAATCAATTTAAAATCTTAAAAAATAAAAAAAGGCTGCCCTTCCCTCAAGTAATAGAGAGCTCTTCCAGCCAGACTGTCCTCAGACCTGAACTGAAACACCAGCTCTCCCTGGGTCTCCTTAGCCTTCAGAGAGGAACTGCACCATCCGCTGTCCTGGATCTCAGGCTTTGGGACTCAGACTGGGACCGAAGCATTGGCTCTCCCGAGTCTCCAGCTTGCTGACTCACCCTGCAGTTCTTGGGACTTGCCTGCCTCCATAATTCTGTGAGCCAGTTCCTTATGATAAATCACTTCACACACACACACACACACACACACACACACGGGCATAGATTCCATTGGTTCTGTTTCTCTGCTGAACAGAGCCAGCAGTCCCTTGCCAGGTGGGACACTGGACTCATGTGATGCCCGGTCACTGTGGGGTATGAAGGCCTGGCCTTCTTGTCCCAGTGTGGGACAACTCTGAGGGATCATCCACACAGATTCCTACTGAGACTGTATCATTGCTCAGATTCTCCCCCTGCCCAACTCTGCTTTTGTCACCTCCCTTAAGGTGTTGACCCTGAGAGCACCTCCTACTAAGCCTCCTGCTCACCAGCTCGAATCTCAGAGCCTGCTGCCAGGACAGCCTGACCTGTGACACCTGTACCATTGCATTAGCCTTTAACCAGACACCCTGCATCCGCCTCTGTCCCCACAGCAGCCAAGGATGACCCTGATAAAGCCTAAGTCCTATCTGCCACTCAGCCACTGACCCAATCACTCCCTGTCACTCGAGGGAACATCAAAGTTCAGATGGTAGCCTTCAGGGCACCCATGACTTCTCTGACTTCGTCTGCTATCCTCGCCACCCCTAGCCCTCACTCTGCTGCAGACAAACTGTTTCTGCGCTGTTTCTCGAACACACTAGGGCAACTCCACCTTAGGGCCTTTGCACTTGCTGGTCTCTCTGCCAGAACTGCCCCTCCCCAGATATGCATCACTTACTCCCTCACTTCCTTCAGGGTTTTATGGAGAACTCACCATCTCAGTATCTAAAATTGCAATGCTCTGTGCCCCTGCTTTTTTATCCTTAGCATTTATCACCTTCTAACATCCTCTTTTACTTGTTTATGTTGTCAGTTTTCCCCAAGAGAACATCAGCTCTGTGCAGGCAGAGTTCTCCGTGTGTTTGTTGTACCCCCAGAACCTAGAACCACATCTAGCAAATAGTAGGTCCTCAAACAATACTTGTTGAATGAATTAATGAATACAAGTTGGGCTTCCACATCTCAACTTAGACTCTCAGGTGCCACTGCCCTTGGGGAAGAAGTTCAGGATCCCCTCCCACAGGCCTCTCGAAAACCCTGGGCTGCTTCCCAGCACACCCCCTGCCCTGAGCTACCCTAAAATGGCAGCTAAATTTTACAATAAGCCTCCCCTCCTGGCGCAGCCTTTTTTGGGGCTCTTGGACTTGTCACTGGCTCCCTGATTCATGGGTGAGGTCCCTGCCCCCACGAGCAGCTGCTCAGTTTACAGAATCCAGCAGTGGGCACAGAATGATGGAGGCGTCAGAAGGGAAATTTTCCATGACTCTCTGAAGCATGAGTAATTGCGAAGCTCTCTGCCTCATTCCAGTCCAAAAACCAGGCAGTTTTCAGACACACTAGTCAAACACAGTGGATTGACAAAGCCTCTCTCATTCGTAAGCAGTGACTACACAGGACAGCCACCCAAGTAGCTAAGTGGTGAGAGAGTTGTCAGGCCCCTGCTGGCATTTACATCACCAGCCCCTCTTCCAAGCGCCCTATTACTGATGATCACCAGGCCTTCAAGCCCAAAGTCCCTGGAGGCGCCCAGATGCAGATCCTGCCCTGGCCCTCCGGCTAAGGAGGCAGAGCCGGCCATCCCTGCTCAGCTCCCTGGGCCAGAGCCCTGGCCCACCCCTCACTCCTCAGTTGGCCCGTCCTGTAGCCCTGAGCACAACTCTGGCAATGGCTGCCTGCAGCTCATCCCAGCCCTAGCAATGCGGGCAAGGCACCTAACCTTTTGGCCCCTCAGTTTCCTCACCTGTGCAGTGGATAAAATAATAGTACCTGCGTCAAAGGGTAGCTGAAACAACTAAATGAGTTAACACAATAAAGAACCTAGGACAGGCTGCACATGATGAGTGCTCAATGGATGTGAACGACCACTCCTAATAAAGGAAAGGCCCCCATCCCCAGCTTTACCCCTTTGAGTAGCCCTTGAGGCCCAGGAAGCCTTGACAATGACCACCACCTGCTGCCGACCTCACCCACCCACCTCACCCTGTCCTGAAAGACAAGAAAGGTGCCCAGCCAGCTGGGGTGGCCCCAGGAGCAGGGAGTACCGTGTTTCTGATGCAGCAAGTATAGGGCACCCCGCAGGCCAGGGGTCCGGGGGCGTTGCAGTCGTGGTACTGGTTTTTGCTCCAATCTTGGTAGTCTTCCCCGCCACAGCACTTGAACTGAGAAAGGAAGCAAGCAGGGAAGAGAGCTGTTGTCGCCGCTGAGGCCTCAGGCAGACAGCAGGAGGGGGTCTTGGCAGGGGACGATGCAATTTATGACATGGCTCATCCTGGTATTGGAAGCTACAGGGGGAGCCTGAGGCCAGGTATTGCCAGGTCAAAGCACTCCACAGGCAGCACGGCTGCCCAAGAGGTAGTGCCCACCCCATCACTGGGGAGGCCTGCAGGCCAAGGCTGAGAAGCCTCTTGGCAGGTGTCAGGGTGGTGACTAAACGCTGGAAGGCAAAGTCCTTCCTTAACAAATGGATTCCATCTTCATGTCCCAGTGCAGGTAGCAGACCAGAGAAGTTGGCCTTTAAGGCCCCAGAGACTAGGATTCTATGGAAGCCACAACGCAGTGGCCCCTGCCCCACACTGGCCCGCTCCCCCCGTGCTGCCTGCCCTGCCCTTAGCAGAGGGGCACACCCCCCCTCCATCCTGCCCTGGGCTCAGGACTGAGCCAGGATAAGGCTGGTGTCATTCTCCCAAGACTAGCTCCTCCTTGCAGCTCCTCCTGCAGCGGTGCCAGCGCCCAGGAAGAGTACTCTGCTGGGGTGCAGTGTGTCCAGGCACTGTTCTGGGCACTGGAGAGACGGGCTGAGCGAAGCAACGCGGCCCCTACCCACCCACATGGGACACATTCCAGTGGGAGACCGAGCGCTAGCATGACATGAAAAGGTCAGTGACCCCTAGTGCTGTGTACCAGGAATGTGAGCACACGGGTAAGGGGGGGGGGGGAAGCTTCAAGATAGGAGGTAGGGAAAGGCCTCTGAGGAGATGCCATTTCATCTGAACCATGAACAGGAAAAAGTCAACACGTGCAAAGATCCTGCAGAGATGAGCAGGTTGTCTTTCAGCAGTCAGTGCGGAGACCAGCGTGTGCAGAGCACAGTGAGGAGAGTGGAAAGGGTGAGGCTGACGGGGTGTGCAGGCCAGACTTACAAAGCCTTGTGAGCCAGAACAGTAAGAACGGGGAGCCTATTCTGAGTGATGGGAAGTCCCTGGGGGATTTAACCGGGGAGTGACAGGGTTGGAGGTCCTGGTAGAAACATAAACCAGACAACCTTTCCCTGTCTCCACAGGGCCCTTTAGGCTATTAGGTTTTGGAACCTGAAAGTGCCTCTCTGTGGTACAGTGCAAAGGGCATTTGCTTTGCAATCAGATAGATCAGAGTTCAAATCCTCACACCACCACTCCTAGCTGTGTGACTTCAGGCAAGTTGATCAGCCTCTCTGAGCCTCAGATCCTCATCTGTAAAGCAGGAAGAGAAATCTCAGCTGTGCACAGCTGAGCTGAGGATTACAAAGAGAGACCATGCATGATGTACCGATCACAGGGCCTGGCACCAAGGGGCGCCCAATGGGCATGAGTCACACATACCCCAACCCACTCCAGGAGAAATAAAATCCCCAAACCAGTTGAGGGCTGGTTCCAATAAAATATCTTGCTCCGCCCAATAGCCAGAACTGGCAAGCACATCCCTGGCAGAGAAGGGCCTCCCAGAGGCTGCACCTGCTGTGACTACAGCAAAGCTCTGAGCCAAGGGAGCAGCCACCGTGGGTGGCCCTGGGTACAGTGAGATGTTGGGCCCCACTGAGGGTTGTCACAGGGGATCAGGCCAGCTGAAGCCTCCAAGGTCATATCCCAGGAAGTGCTGCCAGGGCTGAGTGGGCTCACAGCCCTCAAGCTCTGCGTGTCCTCACCTAGAACATGAGGGCGATGATCACCATAGCTGACACTACTGACTGAGGTCTTGCTGCATGCCTGGCACAGCTCTAAGCACTTCTGAATTAAGTCAAGGCAATGTCACAATGACGCCAAGAGGAAGGCACCATTAGTACCCCCTTGAGGCAGATGAGGAGCCCGAGGATCGGGACTAAATGAGACTGGTATGCCTCAGTCAGGCAGGACAGTGGCTGGCCCTGCAACTGTTATTATTGCACTAACAGGCTGGGAAGACCTTGGGGGAGAGGAAGCGCACCTCAAAATGGCATCATCACACTCAAAGAAGGGTTATGGAGGAAAAGGAGAGTTGTGTCTGTTCCCCAGTGTGGGGGAAATGAAATCAGGGAAGAGCTCTGTTCATACTGGGGCTGTCCTTGACTTGGCAGGGAGTAAGCTCCCTGCAGCTGAAGGGACTTTTGAATTGGGTGGCTCAGAGCTCACTCTCATCTCATGGAAGGAGAACCTTCGCCCATTGGAGAGGGGCACCCTGCAACCCTGCAGGGTGGCTTGTAGCTACACCTGACCTTGTTCTTTTTTTAGGGGGAGGGTCCATGTAACTGGAGAGGGACAGGTAGGGCAAGGCACGTGGGCAGAGGACTGGTTGAGAAGGTCAGGCCCCATCCTTGGTGGTCTTCCATGGCCCAACCCTGCCTCTGAATTGGCCAGCCACCTGCTTTGGGAATAGATAAGCCACGTAACCCCTCACCCTCACCCTCACCCTCTTGAGTAGGGCCCCAAATGTGGGGTGAAGAGCATGTGGGGCACATCTCTGACCCAAAAAGCCTGGCTCACCTTCTTCTGAACAAAGTCCATGATGTTTTTGAAGTCCAGGTCATCATAGTAGTTCTTGATTCCTCTTCGAATGTTGTTATTCAGAAAGTCGATAGTCTATTTAGACAGAGAAATTACAAAAGAAGACCACACACAGCCCAGCGTCCAACCCAAGATTTCCCAGAAGTTCCCATTGGAACAGAGTACCCAAGTGCCCAGGTAGCCCCCACCCCTGCCTGCACGGACTACTCCCTCCACTCCCACCCAGAACACTCACAACTTTCCTGCCCACACACCCTTTCTGTGCCCCTGATGCCCATTTGGTGCCCGAGTCCCTCTGCCATGTCTGAGAAGGAGTGATTCACCCCCTTTTTCTTTGCCAATCAAACACCCCAGGCCCTGAGAGGGGGGCCCTCCCGGGGGATGCACGGCCCCAAAGCAGCTGTGCGGCTGGCACTCAGCTGTCCCGGTTCCCGGCCTGGTATTCCCTCTACTGCCCAAAGACAGGCCTGAACTGAATCTTCCCTTTGCCCTCCAGACCTCCTCTCCACTCTTTTCTACTATCCAACCTCTTGTGTTACAGACAAAGAAACTGAGGCCAGGAAGGGGGCCTGACTCTCCCCAGTTCACTGAACAGGCTGGTTAGGGGCCCAGCCAGGACAGGAAATCAGGTCTCCGGATGTCTCACGTGGGCCTCTCCTCATCTCTCCTCATCGCTGCCGTGCTCCGGCCCCCAGCAAAGGGCCCACCTCCCAGCTCAAACTGGGGCAATCCCCACCGGGAAGAGCGCTGGCAGGCCGCCCTCTCCCGGTCACACTGGGCCTCTGGATCAACAGCCTGGCTGTTGTGCTGAGATGCTGGGCACAAAAGGCCCCACAGCAGGAAGGGGTGGGGACGATGGGAATGTGGGCAGCCCAGCTCCATGCTCACAGTGACAATGGGGGCTTTCAGAGCAGGGAGGCCCTCGTATCATCAGAGATTGTGCTGGCACAAAGGGGGCATTCTCAGCTCTGGAGCCAGACGATTGCCGGGGGAGGTGCCTGCAGGGACACTGGGACAGCAGGGCCCTGGGTTCCAGGCCCAGTCCTGCCACTGCAGCCCGTCACAGCTCCTCCCTTCTCTCAGCCTCAGCTTCCCACTTTCAAACTGACCCTGCAGTCCTATCGTTAAGACATCTTCCAGCTCCAAGGATCAAAGACTAGGCTGAGAGGGGCTGTCAAGCCTCATGATCAAGAACAGTCCACGCAGCCACCCAGGCCTCAGGCACTTCATTTGACGTTTGAGCCTCCATTTCCTTACCTGCAAAATGGGGAGGGCAGTCCTCTGCCTCATAGGGCTTTGAGATTTAAACAAACGAAAACTACGAAAGTCCTTATCAAGATGCTGGGTACACAGTAGGTCCTGGTCTTATTACTACAGATCTTCCGGGAGACACATACCCTATGGTACCACTTCATACCTATCACATCATCAGTGGCTAATTCCAAGGGAAACCAACGCCCCAAGTTTTGTCCAAAAGACACAGGGAATGGAGGCAGCCCTTGATACAAGAGCCAGCCCTTGGCCTGGGACCCCTCACAAATACCCTGCAGCCCAGAGAAGGGATGTGACTTGTCCAAGGTCACCCTGCTGGTTGCTGGCAGATTGATGCTGGAATCAAGGTGTCAAACTCTCAGCCTGACACACTTTAAGAAGCCAAGATAAGAACTCAAGGTTCAGCTTGGGGCCATCTCCCCAACCCATCTCTAGTATCAGGAAGAGAGGCACAACAGATACATCAGCCAAGTCCTTCTGGGCACACTGCTCAAAGCCAAGGTAATGAAGGAGACTGGGTCAGGGAACCTCTCTGTGGCTGGCAGGAAAACCCTCTGCTGATGATAAACAGCCTCTCGGGAGCAGGCCGGGGAGCTGGGGAAGACTGGATGGCAGCCTTGGGAGGCCTAGGCCAGGCCCTCTCCCACGTGAAAGCCTCAGCACTCAAAAGCTACAGCCCTGCACATGTCCGGCACTGGATCCTCGGGCAGGGGCTGGGTGGTCACACAGCCTGGGCAGAGCAGGGACCACCTGGCCTTTCCAACCTCGGGTGCCTGCTCCTCTGGGTGATGAAGAGAGAGGCCAGTCAGCTTGGACTTGGTTGGGGTGTCTAAGAAACAGGGAACAGGACACATGGCATTGAATGGCATTGCTGCCGGGGGCCCTTCACTGAGCTGAGGTACAGGGGGCAATGTCAGAGTCGGGGACATGTCTAAGGCTACATGCATGAGGGTGTGTCAGCTGGTTTCCTTCTGCCCTCGAGGTACTGCAGACACAGTCCTTGCCCACCATGTCCTTCTGCACCTATCCCAGCCCACTGGCCACCTCTCAGCTCCTTTACTGGGTCATATTCTAGAGATGGAAGTGGGGGAATGAGGGCAGGAGGCCCAGGGCAGGTCAGCAGAGGGGATGCCCAGAGGGGAAAGGCTCTCCTTCCCTCTTTGATGAACAGCCCTGAACTCCCCCCAAACCATATGAGCACTTTCCAAATCCGCTGACTCCAAAAGAAGCCTGTGTGAAAATCAGGCCTTCCATCTGGTAAACCAAGCTGGGCCCCTGTGGGGAAGAGAGGTCCCCCTGTTGGTGTCTCGTAATGAGCAGGGAAAACAGATGGTCCCAGACTCCATGGGCGACAGCTGCCCCCAGTTCCCATCAGGGACCTCTCTGCATCATCCTGGCTCTTTGGCACTGTGTGTGTGAGAGTCTGTGTGCATGTGTGTGTGTGTACAGGGAGATGTGTAGAACATTCAGGTAGTGTCCATGCTATGATGCGGGTGGGGGACAGGGGAGGGAGTCAGCGAGGCAGGTGAGTTGCACCGTATACTAATGACTATAGAGAGTTCTGCTATGTTCAGCTGTGTGCTGAAGGATTGGGGGAGCCACTCAGAGGATACACCTTGTGGAGCACGGCAAGGGAGAGAATTCTGGCTTCTTCTGCTGCTCCCAGAGGACAAACACACCCAGTGCCACCCCTACTCTGCTCTAAACCAGGTCAAACCCACGGGCAGCCCCAACAAGGATTAAAAAACCACCTTTCACTAACGAACGGCTGGCATGGCCTCAAGGCCATGTGGCTTGGGCTAAATTAAGCAAACCGTAAGCAAACATCAAAGGGCACGAGACTTTCAGAGCACGTGTTGTTTAAGCTACTAGATTCAAGCTATCTAGTCCTTTCTTTTAGATCTAGCTTTAAAGATATCTGAAGCCTCTGCATCAGCCCTCATCAGAAACGCTTAGAGTGTTTTTAAGTAAATGAGGAATTGAAAGGGGTGGGGGTGGGGGGACATGTGGCAGCAGCTCCGCCAGGACAGGAGGCTGGAGGACCAGGGAGAGGAGGGAGGAAGGGAAGGGGTGGCAGCTGGACCCTCCTCCCAGTCCTCTAGGGATGGAGCTGTCCTAGTTTCCTGGCTTCCTGGAGGCTGCCGAGTTTCATATCAGCTTCTAAGACCCAAGGCTGGGGAGGCCCTGGCTGCCGGCAGCCCAGTTGGAACCAATGCCAACCTGGTTCTCATCACATGAAACCAGCATGTCATAACACTTAGCCAGCATCTCTGGGCTTCCCTCAGTCCCCCTAGAAGGTGGGAACTCGACCTCTTGCCCCCAGCCCCCAGCCTCTGCTCCAGCCCTGAGACAGGCCCAATCTGACAACCAAGGGCCAAAGAGAACCCAAGGAGCAAGAACAGAAGGGGAGGAAAGCTGCAAGGTTCTCTGGAGTATCTGCCATTCCTATCCTCAGACCTGGCTGAGGTCACAGGTTTAATCCCTGTGGCGAGGGAGGTTATGCTTCAGTTTCCCAGGTATTTGGGGCTCCAGCTCTCAGGCCCAAACAGCTGTCCACAGCGCGGTGCACCAGCCGTGGGAGTCTGGCCAGATCAGTGCAGAACTTTCTTTTTTGCTCTGGGTAGAAGAATATACATGTTTGGGTGCTAAGCCAAGAGGGCCATGGCACTGTCCCTTTCTCCTGGCCCCTGACCTCAAGGTCAGGACACAGCCAGCTAGTGCCAGTGTCATGGTTGCGTGCTGCCCACTGTTTCCTTGGGCGGGTGTTGGATGTGACCTCAACACCCTTTGATCAAGGTCAGGAAAGAGGCTGCTCCTCCCCTTGCCCTGGTGGCAGAAAGAAGGCGGCCTGGGATGGGGGACAAATATACCAGGTATAGCCCGGCACCCTCTGGGTGTCCCTGCTCAGCTCTGCCTGACTGGGAGCTATCCTTCTAGAACATCCCTGGCACCCTCAAGAGAGGCCCTACAACAGGCTGCGGTGATATAGGTCAAGAGGGGTGAGAGGCAGGCGAATCATGGAGGTCATTCAGGTTTTCCTCCCATTGGCTGGGTCAAGGCGCTGCACTTCTGCTTCTACTGCCCAGGCCCTCAGGGCCACCTGCTCTGCGCCCAGCTCCCCAGGGCATGGCCACCAGGCCCTGTACAGGCAGAGAAGCCACTTCAGTCTAACCGCCATGCCTGACAGCAGGAACCTCGTCCAGGGTCAAGGGCTGATGGAGAATTTCTGCCTCACACCCAGGAGTCTGTGCATCTATTGCAGCCTGGCTGTGGCCATGGTCTGTGCATCTTCCTGAGAATGTGAAGTCATTAGCTTGATAATTTGTCCTCATTTGTCACCACAAGTGGATTCTTAGAGTTAACAGGTGGCCTGTGGGGCTGGTCTTGTTCTGGCGTGGCTCAGGAAAATCTGTCTACTCCTCTTGTTAAGGAAAAAATGGAATTGGGTACTCACCTCCTCCCAGAAGCTGACCCTGATTGCTCCACCTTCTACTGCCCCTCCTGCCACCAGCAATGAGCCGGGCTGCCCCTTCCCTATCCTCACCATTGGCCCATCTCTTGCTTTATGAAGTCACATTGCATAAGAGTTGGAAGGGACATTATTTCTCTTTATATGGTATTTTCCCCTTGGTTATGACAAAAGAAAAAGAAACTTTGGAAGCCAGGAAAAAAATTTAAAGGAGAAAATAAGTCACCCGCATCCCATCTCTTAGAGGAAATAAGAGTTTGTATGTGTGAGTTTTCCAGGCCTGTTTTGCTTTCACTGTGGAAATCTTACTGTGCTTATAGTTTTGTATCTTGTG